CAGAGCCGGCGCTCGAGACTGTTCTTGCAGCATATGATATGACTCCCTCACGCGCCCGGACTATTCAGATGACGCCGAGCAAAAATCGATTGGTCCCTACTCCTTCCCACACGCGTCTCTTTGGAAGTCCAAGCAAGAGGTCTCGCATGAAAGAGGTCGAAGAGGTCGAGGAAGAAGTTAAGGATCATCCAACCGGCCAGGGATTCGAGGCATGGTTTTCCAAACAACAGACTACCATTTTGAGAATCCTCCGAAATCCGCCTTGGGCCACCATCCCGGCCGGAAACCCAGTCGAAGGTTCCCAGTCGGCTGATGAGGGGACATTCGAGGTGTCGGTGGATGGGGAGAAGAATGAAACCGAGGCCGTTGCTAAATTACGCGCTCTTCTGCGGCGTACGGTGGAGACAGGCGAGGGAAATAGTTGTCTGTTGGTGGGACCGAGAGGAAGTGGCAAGACGAGGGTATGTATACGCTTCGGTTGGCTCACATGTATTAACTAACGGGCTTGCACTAGACTGTTTTACGTGCGTTACGAACACTAATACAAAGCTCAAGTGGGAATTCACAAGCTAGACCATCTACTCCTCCGCCAAGGAGTTCAACAAAACCTGGAGGAAGGACAAAGCAAGGAGGACGGGCCCAGCAATCTGCTCCAACCCCATCAACTCTTGTTACACCTATCGTAATACATTTGTCGGGACACGCCCAGACAAACGACCGCCTGGCGATGCGTGAAATCGCGCGGCAGTTAGTTTTACAGAGCGGAGAGGCTCTGGATGTGCCCTTGGACGAAGAGGAAGACTTGGATGAAGGGCCTACCGGCGTGCATGTTGTGAGTACGAACCCCTCGACCCCCAGTTCACCGAGTGACGATTTTACCCTAGCCCACTGCGACACACCTACCCCAAATTGTTGGGGCGCTTGCAAGACAAATCCGCCCAGTGATCGTTGTACTCGACGCGTTCGACTTGTTTGCAGAACATGCCCGACAAGCTCTTCTGTACTGCCTACTCGATACTGTTCAGTCATGCCGAGCGGGACAAGGTTCGCAAGGTCTGGCCGTAGTCGGGGTCACCAGTCGTATCGTAAGTTACCAATGCGCTCAAACTAGACTCACCCGGTGACACTTTATTCATAGGATTGTCTGACGATGCTGGAAAAACGTGTCAAATCTCGATTCTCCCATCGTATTATTCGGGTTTCACCGCCGCCCACCGTCGACTCATACATTAGCCTTATGATGTCAGCAATAGCTATCTCTGGTCGACCAGATAAACCTCGGTTACCATCCACTCCGAAGAAGAACAGAAAACCCGCTAGCACTGTAGTTCAGACGGATTCATGGTGCACAACTTGGAGGGATTCGATTGATGTGAGTATGCACTTGTGTAGGTGGATTGGCTGACCAGATAACCGTGTTTTAGAGGATAATTACAGACAGGCAATTCAAGCAGATCATAGAAGATATATTTGACCTGTCGAGGGATGTGAGACTACTCCTTCGAATCCTGGTAAGCCCTGGTTAGTGGTCGCTACTGGTGTACTGATGTAGCATCATAGTCAGGGGCCATAGCCAGCTTAACACCATCGTCTCCTTGGCTGACGATAGGAACGATTTCCCGAAGCATCCAGTCTCAGTGTGCACCTCCCCCTTTCGTGTTCTTACAAGGTTAGCTCGTTCGATTGTCTTTGCGCATCAGATCCCAACTTCTTTTACGATCCAGAGCTAGAATACCCTTGCATCGCACTGCTTGTTGCCACTCGGCATATTCACGATAGGGGTCACGACGTATTCACGTTCAAGATGTTATGTGACGAAATCAAACGAGAACTCGGCAATGAAGCGGTCACTAAAGCGTTGGTTCAAGTGCAGGGCCGTGGACTTGGTTTGATACGCGTCCCCGAGTCCGTGCTCGAAGCGGTGAGTACCAAGGCCTGCGATCATGAAATATGATTTGACAAGTTGCCCCGTGCCTCTGCTCTATTACCACTCTTGGCAGGCATTCGAGAGATTGGTGGCGCACAACGTTGTGGTACCTGCAGGCCCAGCCTCAAGCTCCACTAGACGTGCGTACGTGAAATATCGATGTGTGCCAGAACGCTCGGATATCAAGGAGGGAGTCGAGAGATTAGGTCACAGCGCGATGAAGAGGTGGTTCATCCAAGGCGCATCAAATTGAACGGACACGGATAATCTCAGGGATCTCAGCCAGGATAAACACGCCTGTATTCTTATGTCATTGTATACTAAATCGCAATAGCATGAGCTTGATAACACTGCGAAGATTGCTGCCCACGAGGTGAAGTGTCAATGAGTGAGTACCTGAGAGCCTCAGGGCAGATCAAAATCCATGAGGAGCTTGTAGTCCGCGATGCGACCGGGCGCTGAAGGACTATCGGGCTTTCTTCGCCTGTTCACCGAGGTCAGCAGAATATATTTATTTCGGATATAGCGCTTACTTCTCTCCCGCAGCAATAGATGGGAATGAGCCGAATAAAGAAGGATGTTTGGGTAATGGAGATTCTCTAGAGGCACCCTATAAGGTTTGAAGTGAGGTCGATAGGCGGAAGGGCACACACGAGAAATAAGGATGGTTGAGTGCCTCCTCTGCACTGATACGTTGGGCCGGGTCGTAGGCCAATAAACTGGATAGCAGGTCAAGACCCGCACGTGTGAGATGGGGGAATTTGGTCCGAAGAGTTGATGGCCTAATTACGCGGGTCAAAGAATGAACGAGCCTTTGCTCCCTTTCACGCACCAAGAGGCACTCGTGTTGACCGTTTTTGCCAGAGGTAACTTGGAAAATCCAGGCCAGGATTTCTCGTCAGGGTGTCCTAACAGCTTGAAAACCTACACCAAGCGTCAGTGGAGCCGCAGTTAAGGTTCCGGTTAGCATACCATCGACAAGAGTTCCATTTCACCCTTGGCCTGAAATAGTGGTTCATGGAGTAATAACTCTCCAAAGATACAGCCTACAGACCACATGTCTACCGCAGTAGAGTACGTAGCTTCACCCAATAAAAGTTCTGGAGCGCTGTCGAATTGTGAATTTGCCCAATTACGAACCAAAACTGCGACTAACCGGTACCAGAGAGTGACAACGAGTTGGGTCATGTCCCCTAATGGATCTCCGAACGTCCGGGCAAGTCCAAAATCTGCGACCTTGATTTGGCCGCGGTTGTTCATTAATAGATTGCTGGTTTTAAGGTCACGGTGCAGGACCCAGTTTGCGTGGCAATGGGCAACAGCGGAAAGGAGTTGCCGTAGTAGAGTTTTGATCTCGGATTGGAGGAATGGGGAGGGCATTTGCGTAAGTAGCTGCTTGAGGTCGTGTTCTATAAAATCCATGACGATAAAGACTCTGGGATGGAGATTGAGGAGCGTGGATAAGTAGTTATTGAGGTACTTACTGTGTTAAAGTGTCTCCGACAACAATCTCCCGTACACCCACAACGTGCTCATGCTTGCATACCATGAGTGCCATGACTTCGCGCAGACTGGTAATTGGAAAGCCATTTTTCTCCTCATCTAATTTGAGCTTCTTAAGAGCAACGATTTCCCCAGTTTCTTTATCTCGAGCACGAAATACGACCCCATAAGTTCCTTCTTCGATGTGATTGAGTCTTTCGTAGCAGTAAACCGACCGGCAGGGCTGTATTGGAGGGTGGGCCGTCCGAGGGGGGACAAATCGGCTACGAGTGGAGATAGACTGGGAGGGGTTTTCTTCCGCTGGTCGTAGTGCCCGAGCCGTAACCTGAGATGTTGCTTCCGCTTCAGGATCACGAGAGAGCGCAGGTATATCTGGCGAAGGCTCGCGAACTCTAGTCGATTTTTTCGGCCGCTTTTTGGGTACAATGTGAATGGGAGGCTCTTCTTCAATATCGTCCCATTTTGACCGCTTTTGAAGTGGATTGGTAGTTGGAGAAGAGGGACCTGGTTACATGGTATTGTTAGTGGTGCGAATGCATATTCGGGTAAAGTGGCTTGCCAGCGCCGGGAGTCGTCATGAGAGAGCCACCTAGGGCACGGTATAAAATGCGAGATGAGTTATAATCACAAACCGTATATAAACCAACGTTTGCAAACAGAAGCCAGTTTTCAATATGTTTGCGGTCGAAGGTCACGTGAACGCATATCTATATCTGTAGTCTGTCTATACCTTACATTTATGTCCAGTACCATGGTGGACGAATGACTTGGATGCCGGAGTTTTACCTTTACCTTCGGGTCTCACCAAATGAGCAGGAAGCGCAGCCGACAGAGCCCCTCGAGATAGGTAACAGAACACGCAACGGGCCGGAGAAGTGTTTAAACGAGTTGATGTCCATCTACCATTTGCCGAACGTCATCGGGTTCCTTCAACCGAGTTAACTTGTCGCTCTGTTATGTGTTTCAGTGAGAATAAAGGCGCATATATGCCAAGAAGCTTCACACTCGGGTCGCTTATCCTGGTCACTTCCTCTTCGACCAATTTTATGATCTCGGGAAGATTTGGAAGCAGGGAGTCCGCGGCACAGAATACAGTTAGGAAGCGAATGTTACCATTTGGAATGTTTGAGGACAACTTAATTGCTGAGGGTGCGACGTAAGCCGCAGTCTTCGTGGTGACTTCAAGTTGTTCATCGCAGGTGAAGGATGGGGGGTCAAATACATGCGTATTTTCACCCACTAGGAGCTTCTTCCGAGTGGCGGAATGGACTGTGCATATCATGCTAGTTGCCCCCGGGTACCCGTTAGACTGATAACCGCTCTGGCTTCTGGCGCTATCGGTTACACAATTATATGTAAGTCACATTAAAAATATGCATATGTCCTGGAACGAGGCGAATTGAAAACGCGTTTATAAACGTGTTTATAAACAATGTTTACAAACACGTTTCCTACGAGATCATATGTACTGTACCCTATAGCCAGCAACGGTTGTTGTGCACGCACGAGTGTAATTGTCCGCGTGGGGTTAGCGATGGGATTGTAATAAGGGTCCCGACCATGAAGACAGGCTCCTGTGGTCTAGTGGTTATGACACTTCGTTGTGGTCATGCTTACGTAACTATTACGTAAGAAACACGCCGAAGCGGCCTGTGTTCGATTCACGGCAGGGGCACCCTTTTTTTAGCGTTGAACACACTTGTTTTGTCGATTAATTGAGATAATTATCATTTTTACATCGATTTCCTTGCTTTTTGTAATAAAATAGAATTTTACCCGATAAAACTGACAAGTTCGATGAGCTACGACTTGGAGACGTTACCAACGGACTACTGTACGGCAGAGCCCATAGGGGAATTGCGGAATATATGTTTGTATTTAGGAAAAGATGAGGAATTGTCGTTATCGACCTTGTGAAACGATTAAACGCTCATATCATGTGCGGTGACCGTCTATATCGAATTATCAGCACTACTTGACAATCACCACCTCCAAAACACAGTATGCGAACGCTTTCAAGGGGCCAACCAAAAACCAATGTGTGAGCATAAGTGTAGCAGTGGACTTATTCCACAAAGTCCCGTAACGTAATTTGGTTATTCCGCACGTAGTTGCGGTTTCGCAAGCCCGGTATTTGGGCACTGCACCAGTGCTAAATAACTTATCCCCAACCACATATCTTCTCCCCGGCGCGCCGTCGCAAGTCTACGGTGAGAACGTTCCCTCTTGACAAAGTACTTGTTCGTATACTAATTACGGTAACTGCCCTCTTCGGGTCGACCCTTTCACCCAAGGGCTTTAACATTCCATACTTTTATCATGTAAAGTCGGCAGATTCGATCAGTTATTAATTCAAGTCTCCCAGCTGACGTCGATTGCGCCGGGGAATGATCGTGCGAGAAACCCGAAGCAGCGTGCGGATATAATATTACGGATAACGTAGATCCGCATTCTTCGAGCACTATATATGCTCGCTTCTTCGGCCTCTGACCGCAACCAACCCCCCACTCAGACCAAGACACCAGAATGTCCTTTGCACGAATGCTTCATACTGCCTCCCGTGGGGCGTTGCACCAACGACAAGTCCCCGCGTTGGCGCTACGAGCAAGGAGTGCCGTAAGATTCAGCTCATCCAGCGCTGTGGTAAGCGACGTGACCATGGCTTACCCCCATACGAGACTGATTGTGGTTCCAAGGCATCGAGTCCGGTACTCCCCGGTCTTCCATCTGCGTGCAAACAATTGTTTGACGCCAAGGCAAAGAAAGGCACGACTGCATGCCCTTGGGGAATTGCTGCTACTAATTACAGAACCCCAGGCCTGAGCTTTGGTGAGATCGGGAAAGCCATTGGCAGGGATGAAATCTGGACTGCGGCACTATTCTACGGGCAGGTATGAATCCCTACTCGCCAGTGTTACTGGATTCTTGACGTCACCCTGCTACAGGCTAAACCAGCCCCAGAGGATCTTGCAAAGTTGAGCGATGCCCTAGGTAGGCAAAATTCAATGAGTTGTGTGGATTTTAATCATTTCGATCAGGAGTACCCCACCAGTCCCTCCAAGACAGCCTTGGGGATCATTGGTGGCCAACGCGCGGGCTCGGTCCCGACCCTCCTCAGGACCCGGTTATTTACCGACTTCATGAAGTAAGTTTACCCGAATAATACAGGCTACAGCTCTAAACCTGTTCCTAGGGTGTCTTAGTGTACGGATATCCAATCAAGGTGAGGCGCCTGGAACCCATAGTATCCAGCATCGGGTAACCCGGTCTGAATTTGCCTAGGCCGTGATCCATGAGAAGGTATGCACTTGGGCTGGGTGTATGCGATGTGGTACTAATCAATACACTTGTGGATGCCCCAGTTCGGAGACGGGATCATGTCCTTGATCGATTGCCATGTCACGGTAGATAGAAAACCGCACCCAAAGGGCGATCGGGTTGTGCTGACATTTGAGTAAGTGTGTCGAGCGTGTAAAGGGGACCTCACTAATAATACCATAGTGGGAAATTCCTGCCTTATGCCAAATGGTGAAAGCTCGGTAACATTGTGTTAGCATCGTACTGCATCCCCAAGCCATATTCTTTCATTTAACGCTCGTTTATGTGGTCTCGAGGTACAAATTGAACAACAAATATACGCCTCTAACATGGTTATCACTTTCCCCGGCCATTGGTATTCAACTCTCAACCATTTCCCAAGTATCCGTGATTTCCTTCTGGATTTTCACAAATAGGCACCCGTTTTTGGTCAGCCTACCGTGTAAATCATACAATCGAATAAACCTATAGCCTGGCTGAAGTCTATCAAGACGAACGCAAGCCCACCCAGCCATGTCATCCGTTCCGAATTCTTCGTCTTTTAGTAGGAACCTACGGGCCATGGGGTTCAGTAATACTATGGATATACCGAAATAGCGCACCTGACGAATGAAGCAGCAGGTACCACATTGGACGCCTTAAGCGCGATCTCGGGAGGGTCTAACGTTCCCGACCCAAGTGACCCGCGTTCCTCCCATACAACATCTATTCCTCGCAAAGCTTTATTCCTGCCCCTCACTCCATCTTCACCCAGTCCATCTGCTAGTAACTGAACTTCGACATATCTAAATATCCCATGCATGCATCGCCGTGAGTGAGAGTTGGAACAAGAAGAGCACACCTACGGCTTGAATCCCTCCACGCCATCCCGGTGCTTCATACGGCTGAAGAATCCCATGATCTTACCCCGTTTACTTTCTTTATCTTGAGACTCTGGATTCGCGGGCGGCGTCAGTGCGGTGGCTGTCACATGTACTGCTGCGAGTCCGGCTTCAATAGCACCGGTACCTTGCCCCTCTCCTTCCTTGGCCCCGCTATTACTACGCGAGTGGGCCTCTTTTCGTCTCTTCTTTTCTTCCTTCTTTTTGAGTTTCTCGAGTTTCTCGGTCTCGTCCTCTGCTTCGTCTTCTGGAAGAGGAAGCGATTGCCCGGCTAGAATTGTGACTCTAAGTACAACGTTGCGTTTTTCCTCTCGTGCAAATACGCCGGTAAGATTTACGTCCCGGCGTCCTGGGGGCTTGAGAACATAACCGCCAGTTTGGGCGAACCTGAGTGTGGGTGTATACGTTAGCCAATGGCCCAGAAAGATCTAGTTGAAGTTATTAACATAGCTTCATTCAACATCATGCCCTAACAAAGATACACATCAGAATATATTCGCACAATTGGTGACAGAACTCACCCGGTCGACCTTCTGCCAATTGAGAGCCACAAGCTGGACTCCGCGGGACCAAAAGGTCGTTGGGTCTACATTAGATGACCCAAACCTTTGGGCTCATCAGCTTCGCTCCAAGGAGCTAATACAACGAAACTCACCGGAGACCAAAGGGATACACTCGCATAAAGTTATGGACATTGTGAGCAAAAAGTTCATCGTGGTTCGACTTGTTCATTTTAAGAAAGGCTTTTTCGGAGAACGAAAAGATGTGATTTGGAGGCAGCCGTTCTGATTCGTATTTAATATAGACAAATTGACCAAAGATTTCCGCGTAGGTACTCACTGGTATCTTCCCAATCCTTGAAACTGTGGCCCGAGACATATACCCCCAGATCAGCCAGTGCCCGAATGACTTTACTCTTCTTGGGCTTGGGCTTGGAGGCTGCCGCCGCCGCTTCGCGTAACTCTTCGTCAGATGAAGAGTCTGGTGATGTATCATCGTTGGGGTTATTTGGTTTGGGATCTGGAACTGATTGTACCGCAGCAGGATCACTAGTTGTCGGGAAATGTTTGACCTGTGGGTGTGTGAGGCACCCTGACAACGACAACGAAGTAAACGACTTACCTTGACAAGTAAACGACGACGAAGAGCTTCAGGCGAAGGAAGAACCTTATCATCAATACGATGAGAGAGGCGCTCGCTAACAAGGTAATTTCCTAGTTCCTCCTTCATAATCGACACGATTTTCTCTTGCTATACCAGCCCATTGGACGTTAGGTGGAGTAGCTATATATACCTGGGACATACCTGAGCATTGCTTGCATGTACCTCCAGACTAATTATTACAGGTAATTCCGACGTGGTAAAGGCGTTTTCCTTTATTGCGCGACAAACATCCCGGAAAGGAACCTCCTTGGTGAGCGTATACCCATGAAATACGGCCGGCTCTCCCTTCTCTCCATCCCAGACGTCAATTTCAACAGAGCGACAACCACGCAATAGTACATTGCGATATCCATCAACGGTAGAGGCGCCGTAGAGCTGGTGGCCCACAAGATAAGTATTATGAGACGACGAAATATAGTATTCGTTCAAAGGCCGCGTCTCATCCTCGGGAATAGCCTTGATTGAGTCGTTGGCAACTGATGTAAGGTAGGCAGTGAATTCAGCTTTATCGATGCCATCCTTGTCACTCAAGAGCTTGTCGACCACTGTGGGACTGAGAGTGCGTTTCATCCAAGCCTTGAAGCCTTCGTCGTCGAAACGTTGTTCGCCCTGTCCTTCCAAAAACGTACGGAGTTCGCCCAAGCTGAGAGAACGGCCCGATTTGCAGATGTTGCTAAAGACCCTTTCGATCTGCTTCTGCATTCCGGCGTATGTGATCGTCAACGGTTTGGGGCGCTCGAGGACTCCGCCGCCCGCATCAGTACTAAGCGTTGCGCGTTGCCCATTGTTCCCTGGGGTGTCAGCCATTGTCGACGTCGTGGTCGCCCTCGTTCCTGATCGCCCAGCTATTTCTATTCGCGCTTCTTGACGTCAGCTATCACGTGTGGTGTCACATTGTACCGTAAACCAGCACTGCCGAGCACCAACGTGCATACACACAGTAGATGTATGCATAGCTCCCTATATTTACCCGCGCTAACTCTGAGAAAATTCGATCAGGTATTCTGGATAAAGACATGACGTTTATAGATTCTTCGATGAGCAGCCAAGCTATTGGACATCAATTAGTAACTCGCCTGTAAATCGAATGTTCACTCGAATGATACTCACACTGGCTCTTTAACAACGTATTGTTTGCTCTTAGCCGGGTTGATCATGTTGTTGGCCCCAAGGGCATGTAATCCCACAGCCCCTCAATCGGCTGTAGTTGCACCCGGATGATTCCAGCTTTCACTTGGGACCTGCAATAAACTTTATTTGATCTACCCGGTGATGGTAATGACCATAAATAAAGTAGATATGACTGTGATGC